TTTTTTTCTTAGTTGTTCCTTATGTACCTTTGTTCTCTCAATATATAATCATGTTTCTCTCAATACTTCCTTTGTTTTCCTTGTCGAATTATCTTGTTGCTTTTTCTCTCATTAAACATTTAAGGAATCTTACTTTTAGAACTCTTTTCTCGAAATAAAGTCGGTTCGGAGTTTTTTTTGTTAAAGTTCTTTTGGAGAGCACCGAAATTGTGCCGAACTCTCATAGGACTTATATTGTACAGCGTGACGCTCGAAAGTACAACACTAGATCTTACAGTTAGGGGATGATATTATTCACGCTCTGGAGTGTGTACCCACCCCCTATGGACAGTTCCAGATTTGACGCCAAAAAACTTGTGCCAAATGATCATCAGGTAAATCTGTTTGTGATTGTACAATAGAGCTCTTCAGAGTCTTGGTAAAGAAAGCAAAGGGGGGGGGGGGGGGTGATCATCCCCCAGGTCGTACGGGTTATTCCGGCAAGTTGAACAGCCATCTGCGTGTCTTTCTTGGCAAGCGCCTGGGAGTTCAGTTTGTAGGTCAGTTTAGTGTTGATAAGAGGGCACCTAGCCACTTGACTTGAGTTAGTGGGGGTCAGTGTTTCGGTGTCGAGGCTGATAGTGAGTATTTCAGTTCATAAGGTCTTGATACCCAATCATCATTTCATCATTCATATCCTTCGTCATTATTCAAGAAACACGATCACTGCACCACAATTCACTAACGTTCCCATATACCCCCATTCAAGAGAAAAACAAAACATACATGACATTCAAACAAGTTCACACACTTACAAGAACCAGACCTATAAGCAAAAAAAAGAAAAGAAAAGAAGAAGGAAAACATCCAACCCCATCAATGCAAAAAAAGTGCGATATCGGAAAAAGGAAGACGAAAAAAAAAAAAAAAAAAAAAATTGAGAATAGAAAAAAATCATGAAATTGAAAGATGCGCGTCTTCAGGTATCTTGGAAATAGTTTCAAGCAATCAGTCGGTTCAGGAAAAAGTCCTTTCCATGTCTTTCTATCTTCTTGTGGTATAAATTAATAGTAAAGCTTAGGTCGGTAGGAATTGCTGGCTTTGGCAAAACATTCCTCGAGCTAAAAGATGGGGATATTCCAAAATAAGTAAAGATGAAAAGGTAGGAATAAGACAAAGGGACGTACGTGTTGCTCTCCAGACGGCCAAGGACAATAAGATCCAAGCAACAAAGTTTATAGCAGCAAGTAGAGTCCAAGCAAGAGCCCAGACTGAAATCGAAACATAATTTTTTTTAATCAATATGTCAGGTTATTATGGAAAAGAGATGTGCGACTTACTTCCGGCTTTAACCATCGGGAACCTTTCTTCAAACATCACTGGACAGCATGGGTTCATCTTCCGGAACACTATTTCACCACACTTTGTCAGTCGAGAACGAGCGTTTCAAGGGGTGAAGGAATGTATAACATACCAAAGTCATCCATGACGTCAAATAATACATACCACGAGCTCATCACGCCCACGAATAGAACGTAGTAGCGTAGGATGCCAGCATGGTCAATAAACCAGAACCCGATCAGAAGACCTAA